TTGCTGCATATTTATTATGCCATTTGTTTCTTGATTTCAAAAACCTTTTCAGATGTTTAGTGCTTATTTGTAATGAAGTCTTTGGCCTCCATTACATAGCTCTAAGAAGTCAAATTGTTTGGGGGACTGGATTTGTTTTTAAATAATTTATATTTAATTTTAAAATGTTTGCTTATGCAGATGGAAGAAGTTTGTGGAGTTGCTCAAGAAAGCTCATTCCACTGTGACTCCTAATTTGTCTGTTCCTGTGGGTAAGTGAAGTGGCTGTCACTCTTAATCACACCTGTGAGATGCAACAAGCACCAGGAAAATACTACTTTTTTTCAAAACCAACGATTCTTAAAATATCTTCATCACTACATAGTGAACTTTTTCCCAACACATGTCCCGCTGCTGATAATGCCACCCTGTCAAAATGCCATGCTGAGCACTGGCCTTGTTTTTAAAAAATGTAAAGGTCTCACAGGTCTAGAGCAACAACAACAAAATCCCACAACTCACCACCAACAATGCAAGTTCATTAATTATTTCTCTTAATTTTAAAGAGCAGTACAATGTATATTCTCATAAGGAAAGTTGTGCATCATGCATCCCCTCTCCTGGATACATACAGGAATTTCACTAGTTTGATATTCAAAAATTGTTACTAGCAGGTAGCATGCACCTGTTGGATGCAGGGAGCTTCTTTTCCAGTTGTTGCAGAATTTTATTTTTAAAGAATAATTGGAGATTTACTCAGCATTGCCCAGGTCCTTAACTAAAAAAAGTTTGTTTTTCTTCATGTAATCATTGCTCTGGGATGGGGATGGGGATGACAGGTTCAGTCTGCAGGCAGCCCCAGGCAGAGAACAGCCCCAGCCCTCTGTCTCCATACCCCTTGCGGCCTCTGAGAAATGCCTCTCCACGGCTGCTACAGTGAAGTAGTCCATATTTTGAAATGTTCAACTTGTTTCTTTTGTTTCACTTGCCCAGGATGTTTGGGTACCACCAGGGATTCATTTTCAATCATCTTTTCCCTTTGTTTATTGATGAGTGGCGCTTAAGTTTGAATACTCCTGTTTATCAGACAATGTAATCAGCCTTGCTCCACCTGTGTGTATTCTGCTTGTGTCTGTTGCTCATTGAACAGCCTACAAAATGCTAACAAAGCACAGATGTTAGAATTGTAGATTTCTATTCCAAGGGACACCTGTATGCAATCAGCCAAATTCTAGCCTTGGATGCATTCATAAAGGTCTCATTGAAATTCATGGTAGTAACGCATAGGCATCTAAACCCAGAATTTGTCCTAAATGAGCCATATAAGGTGATGAGTATATGGAAGTCTAATTTTGTATTGTTTACATACCAAGAGATAGCAGAGAGTAGTGTAGATCTCCTAAGTTACAGTAGCCTTACCCTTTACTTTTCTTGCTATTTACATTCTCCTGTTAGTTGCTTTATCTCCTACAACCTTTCCCTTCTAGTAGTCTCTCAATTAGTTTGAACTTGCTAAAATCCCATGGTCAAATTCTAAGGCCAGGTCTATACTAGACCCGGAAGGTCAGCTTAAGGTATGCAACTCCAGCTATACAAATAATGTAGCTGGAATCTACATACCTTAAGCCAAACTTGGTGCTGTTTTCACAGTGTGAAGTGAATGGGAGCAAATGGTCCTGTTGGTTTCCCTTACTTCTTGAAGGAGTATTGGCACTGACCAGTGGCACCCTCAGCATTCAATTTAGCGGGTCCTTACTAGACCTACTAAATTCAACGCCAGAAGATCTATCTCCGGTACAGCAAGTGGAACTGTGGCCTAAGAGGATGTGCAAATAGGTGTAAGTTTCACCTGGGTAATGTGCTTCCTTTGGAGAGAGTATGTGAATACAAGTCAGAGTAACTTGCAATGTGAGGGAGCTAGAAGCAAATGTAAATCACACCAGCTTAGATTCTCCTTTCGATTCTTCTATAGGCATACACTCACTTCTAAATTTTGACCTTCCTTTCCTTGCCCAGAGCTTATTTCAGATTGCTAATTAGCACATTTTTGGCTGTCAGTAGCGGGACTGTCCATTCCTGATAGACACATGTTTTATGCACATAGATAATCATCCAAACATTTATATGCATAGATAATCATGATAGTTTCCAAATGTCACTTGGCCCTAATAATTGCTGTAGCTTGCTTTTTCTCTTTCATTTGTCTTAATATTTTCTTCTACTTCTCCATTCTAACTTGGTTGAGAAACAAGTAGATTGCCTGCAAACTCCTCAGTCCTCTTTGGAGTTACTGAATTTTTGACTTGCTGTAGTCACAAATCTTTGGAGAAGCAATATATCAGGTGAACTTGTGCTGTATTTCAAGACCGTAGTTTTGTGTGGTAATGATATGAAAATTGATGGTTTTGATCCAAAATAGGCAAAAAAGAGATTGTTGTAGGATGTTTTCCTTTGAAATTTCAGATTCTTTTAAAGAGACAAATCAGGGAATGAAAACAGAAATTTTAAAAAAAGGGGAATGCCCTTTTTTCAAAATTTTCTAGGAGATGTAAATATCTCTTCATAGTTTGCCCTGTTTGAAAAAGCTATTTCCAAACTGAGATGTGAAACAAAAAATTCAGCTAATGGCCATTTGCAAAATTTAGATCCAGCTTTATGTTTAAATTTTGAATGTCCTCAAGGACCCTAATGTGTTAGGTAGGATCCATCATTTTGACTAGGGCCCAACTTTAATAATGAATGTTTGCTTATCTAGAAACAGCTGGTTTTTTAGCATTGCTTCAGGTTTTCTGAAGCTGAAATGTAGGCTGGATTATGAGCTATTGACATGTACTCAACACTAATCTAATAATCTTTAGAAAGGGTATGGAAGGGGTGTTTAATATTCATAGGATGGCCAAAGCCTGTGTTCAACCCATCATAATCATAACATCGGAGCATATTCAGGGTTCTAAGTTTGGACATGAACCTATGACCATCTGTTTGGAGATGAACCAGCTGTCTGTTGAACTACAAACACCCTTCATTCATTGTGACAATTCATCTTTCCAACTACTGACATTTTATACTGCAATCTATCTTGCGGTGCATAAATTAGTGTAATCTCCAAATAGATGACTATTAAACAGGTATTGGAAGAGAACTGATTTACAGTACTTAGTCAGAGAATCATGTACAGGGTTTGAATTTTAAGCTGTAATAAGGTAATTGTGAAAACACAGGGAGGGCTTGTGCCAGTTAGGCTGGGATCCCTTGCATAGGGGAAAGCTTACTGGTGTGTGTTAGTGTGGTGGACGGAGAGAAGAGAGGATGCCTGCCACATAATCATTTTATGAAGTATGGTATGTGCAGCCTTTTCTAGCTGGTCATCTCTGGAAAGTGAACACCTATGAACTAAAACTGGAGAACAACTGGCCACACAAACCCTTGCACATGGAAGCAGATTCAGGGCTGTAGGAAATTTTGTACAGGTGTTTTCATTAAAAGTTTATTGTTTGCCAACAGCTGTGGCACAATGGTAACTGGCATGCCTCTGTTAATTCCCTGTGTTTAGTACAGGAAATGGTGGCAGTGAATAGCACACATACAGCAATAAAATAAAAGATGATGGCAAAGATTAGAAACTGGGAAAAGAACCACTAGGAACAAACTGATAGAAAGCCAGGTGCCATAATAATGAGGGGGACATTCAAACATAGCTAGATTCACGAGGCTGAGCCAAATTCTGTCCTCAGAAGTGTGTTTATCACTGGAGTGCAGTGTTCCCTCTAAGCTTTGTGGGTGCACAGCCCTTGAGCTGTTTTATCAGCCCTGCCCAGCCAGGGGCTCAGGACTCATGCATGGAGCTGCCTGGCTGGAGGATAAGCACTTCTCCCTCAAGCAACATCAGCAGCTTGCTGCAGAGCACAGAGCAGCCAGTCTTTCCCAGCTGTTAGGGATATGTCCCCTCCTTACCAGCTGGGAGAGACTCTCTGCTCTGTCCTCAGCAGGGAGCTGCTGCTGTTACAGAGGGAGAAGTGCCCTTCTCCCCACCAGGCAGCTCCGTGTGTGGAGCCCTGAGCTCCTGGCTGTGCAGGGCCGTTTCAGTATTTCACACCACGTAGGTTAGAGGGAACACTGCTGAAGTTGCATATGAGTTCTATGCCGTAATTCATTTCCTTTGTTATAGCTTTATGGGGACTTTTTAAAATCCAAGATTATAGACAGTCATACAGTGCAGTGAAGAGTGGTGTTAAAAATCCTCTACCTCCCCCCCCCCTTAACTGAGCCTTTTGGGGTATGCTTTCCACTTCCCCTGGGTCAAATTCTGTAATGACCTGACCCTTTTGGGGTATGCTTTCCACTTCCCTGGGATCAAATTCTGTAATGACCATGAAACCCACTTCCTCAGATCAAATAGTGGAAGAAAATTGGCATGACCATATATACTCCAAAGGATACAATCAAAAAAATGAACACATATGAAAAGGACAAATCAAATTTCAGAACAGAAGAGGGATGAGGGGGGGAGGTAAATGTTTGTGAGCTAATGATATTAGAGGTGATAATTGGGGAAACTATCTGAAATTTGATTTGTCCTTTTCATATGTGTTCATTTTTTTGATTGTATCCTTTGGAGTATATATGGTCATGCCAATTTTCTTCCACTATTTGATCTGAGGAAGTGGGTTTCATGGTCATTACAGAATTTGATCCCAGGGAAGTGGAAAGCATACCCCAAAAGGGTCAGTTAAAAGGGGGAGGGGGAGGTAGAGGATTTTTAACACCACTCTTCACTGCACTGTATGACTGTCTATAATCTTGGATTTTAAAAAGTCCCCATAAAGCTATAACAAAGGAAATGAATTACGGCATAGAACTCATATGCAACTTCAGCAGTGTTCCCTCTAACCTACGTGGTGTGAAATACTGAAATAGATGAGGGTTATATTATAAGACTGCCCAGTGCTCTGGTATTCAGTGCCTTTGTATTCTGTGCCCTTGGGGAACCTGCATAACAAGGTGAGGGACTCAACCAGTTCACCCCACAGAGAAGAGTTTGTATTTGGTAAATGCAGGGGGAAAATCCTTTCAGATCTTTTTTTTTAATGAATATTAAAATGCCATCTTTCCGACCCTTCACTCAGTTACACTAGTGTAAATCCAGAATGATTCCATGGAGCTAGATGGAGTCAGTATGGATTTAAATATGTGTAACTGGTAGCAGAACTTGGCTCTGCAGACTTTAGGTGCCAGTAGGATCTGAATGTGTAGCAGGTGCTGTTTGGAAAATGGTACTCACAGAGCCCCAGCTGGTAGCCACAGCTGAAATTTGAATAATCAGAATCTTCAGACTCAGCTGCTATGCCTGGTCCCATTTCCATGGAAACAGATGCAGGGCTGTAGAAAATTATGTACAGGTGTTTTCATTAAAAGGTCATTGTTTGCCAACAGCTAGGACACAATGGTAACTGACACACCTCCACTAATTCCCTGTATTTAGAACAGGAAATGGTGGCAGCGTCTTAGCTATCACTGTATAATAATTTTTGGCAAATGTTGCTGTTTCATTAATGGCAACCTTTGTGGGTGCTTTGTCAATATACTCTTCCTGCAGCATCCTGGCGATACTTTGTTCTGTTTTGGCCTATGTCTTTGTGCCCTCCTCTCCCTTTCTGCCAAATCATAAAATTACCTTCAGATGGTTCTGCCATCCATCATTCTGGCTAGGAAATGGAACGTTTCTCCGACAGGAAATGTTGACATTTCTAAGTGAGGTTCCATTTTGAATCTACATAAAGTTGAAATGTCAAAAACCTTCACTGAACAAAAAATGACAAAATATTTCATATCAGAAATCTTAATATGAAAAAATGATCAAATCTTAAACACAGTGACATGTTTTGTTTTAATTTTCTTGATTGGAAAAAAATAAAACAATATTGTCCAAATTGCTGTGTTTTCACCCAAAATGTTGATTAAACAGCATTTTCAGATAGGAATATTTTTGTGTGAAAATTTTTGACTGGCTGCACTTACTGATTTGCTTTGGGCAGAAAGGGAGAGGAGGGCACAAAGACATAGGCTAAAACAGAACAAAGTATCTGACTACTTCCTTGCTGAAATTCACTCATCTTGAGCAATACCTACGTACTTTACATCTACTGGAACATCATTGCCTGCAAAGCATTTTGTGGTTGTTGTGCATGAAAGGTACCATGCAACTGAGAAGTTGCCTTTCTTCTGTGCTTGGGTGCAGCTGGGTTGGATTCCGATGCAACCCACTTGTGATTAGAGGGAGGGATTTTGAGAGATTTTTCATTGTACACTGAGGGTGCGAAGGAATATCAGGGCTGCTTAGTGGAGACTGAAGGATTCTCCAGCAACAGGAATGGGGCAAAGACCTTTGCCATGCAGGGAGTCCCCCCAGTACCCTGAGATATACATTGAATTTATGAAGGCGCTTACACCACCACTTCACTTCCACAGCAGAACAACACTAGCTCTCAATGGTGGTGACCATTTGGTCCAGGAGAGAAGTGAAGTAGCACCTTTGTTCCCTCTGTAGGGAGGTGTAGATTGAGTATCAAGATAATCAATAACCGGTTTGTAATTTGAACACAAGTGTACTTGAATGTGTACATTGCACTAAGCTTTGGTGACACATATCTCATTCCTAGTGGAGAAAGGGGGAGCAAAGGCCTGCCTCAGTATTAAACATTCAGGCCCTGATCCAGTGCCCTAGTGAGGGTATTTCCATTGACTTCAATGAGTATTGCATCAGGTTTGACGTTTCCAGAACTTGTCTTTGTGATTGTGTTTATGGAGCACCTAGATGCAAGAAATTCTTACAAATGTTTCCATTTTAGGGGAATTCCAAGAGGAAATCGGCAATGCTGTGGCTGCCCGTCTGGTATGATCCATAGAACGGATATAGCTGATTAGTAGTCTTTGGTTGGTATGTTACAGATGATCTTTTTAATAACTGTTTCCACAATAGAGAAGGCAAGTCCATAACTTGTTTATTTCTTAATTAATAAACCTAATATTAATATGCAGTCAGCAACTGATGTCGTTAATGGTTTTCCCTTTGCCTTGATGCCCAACAACTCAGTCCAGCAAAGTGCATGTGTAATTTTAGCATAAGAGTAGTCCCATTGGCTTCAATGGAATGACTTCCATGCTTAAAGGTGCACAAGTTAGTGAACTGGGGAAGGAGAAAGGAAGTATCCAGTCTCCCCCTTTTCTTCTCCTTTAATGCTGATATTACACTTACTTTCTGGGGCCTGTCACACCGTCATTTAAAATCATTAACTATCCCACTGGAATTTTGTCATGCTGCTGTTGGGCTCTGCTGGCTCTTATTAAAGGAAGGCCGGTCAAAAGGTTAGTGTCAGCATCTCAAGCCCATTGTATGTTAGAGAATAGTGACCTTCACTCACAGATGACAGAATTAGAAATGTAAATATAATGGACTGAGAAGAGCCTTTGTTTCCAGTAGCCATTTAGAAGAAACTACAGGTTGGACCTCTCTGGTCTGGCATCCTCAGGACCTAACTGGTCCTGGATGAGGGATTTTGCTGGACCAGGGGAGCAGATGCCCATCCCATCACCCTTCCACTGCAGTGTGCCAATGTTCTCTGACCCTGGAACATCCATGGTCTGGTTGCAAGACCTGAGAGCCATGGTTTATGGAGGTGCAACCTGTATTAATTTTTTCCAATATTTTGCCTTAAGGTTCCATCAGAAAAGAAAATATTTGTTTACAGTTAAGGAGTTTAGCACAATTGAGATCTGCTGATGAAAATGTGTTACGTAAGAGCTAGCTATTTTTGTTAGTATCTATAATTATTAAAAGTGACTTGGCCTCTGTACTTGCCTCATGATGCAAAGCACTTCAGAAAATAATATCAGATTTGGCAGCCCATCTAAAAAGAAGTAATTACAAAAGTCTGTCAGTTGTGGGTTGAGATCTGTCCTCTGATTACTGTTGGCAATAAGTTGTGGAAAAGTGCAATGATGCTACACGGTTCAATGGCTGGTATCCAAAGCTAGACAAATTCAAAGAGGAAATAAAGCTTACATTTTTAAGAGGCAGAGTAATTAACCATCGGAACAACTTACGAAGCATCGTGGTGGATTCTCTATCGCTGATGATTGTTAAATCAGCATGAGATTTGTTTTCTAAGAAAAATGCTTATGGAATCATTTTGGGGCAGTCCTATGGCCTGTGTTGTCCAGAGGTCATGCTAGACTATCACAATGGTCCCTTGTGGCCTTGGAATCTATGAAAAAAATACTTACTCCTTGGTATGCAAGGGATTAACTACAGCTCATTTTCTCCCATCCATCCCTTAGTGACCATCAATTGACAGTGGGGAGAATGCCTGTGGGAAGGTAGAGCTCCAACCAGGGTCATTGGGTTTCATCCCAGGCTGGGGGAAAAAAGTTTGTTGCTTTGTTTTTAATTTCTTTGTGACTTCTTTTGATATTTGATCATCAACACCATTTCAGTGTGATTTAGGCCAAGGGCGCTGTTTTGGGAGAGCCGGGGGGAGGAGGGGACAGCAGCCATGCATAGTGAAACATGACTTGCTTTTCTTCCCATTCCACTGATAAGGGAGCAAGGGGAAAGTATTTGGGGGTCTATGCATACCTGGTGAAGGGAGGGGGCAGAGGAGTAATTCACGGAGCCCAAGTACTTCCCCCTTGCTCCCTTATTGTCAGGGGAATGGGAAGAAAAGCAAGCCGCATCCTGGTACACATAGCTGCTGCCCCACCCGCTCTCCTGAAACGGTGCCCTTGATTTAGGCACCTCTATAATTTAAAGAATCTGGGCCCCATAATCCATATTTAACAACCTCACTGTGGATTTAAGAGCCTAACTTTAGACTCCCAGATTTGAACATTTGACCCATTATTCTTTGAGGGCAGACATTTGCTAGGCTGTGTTTCTGCTGAAGCCTCCACCAGTTGGTGGGAGTGTCTTAAGGGCATCCAGACCTAGAACTTGCCTTGTCTTGGCCTTTGGTGGTCAGCAATCAGTGCAGTGCACCAGTGCCTACTCTGTAAACATAAACAAGGGCTACTGACTGGGCAGAAGTCTAGCTCAGTGAGTCCGATGTTTGCCCTAATGTATATGTGGGACTCCTCAGAAATACAGCTTCACCAGTGACTGATTTGTGGCTCTTTCTAGTGGTAGATCAAGCCCACAACTATGGCGTTCATAGCTGCCCTAAATACAAAAGTATTCTATTGTTGCCATTTACCCAGCACGATGCTATCGCTAATAGTTTTAACTGTATGTTTTAATTTGATTTTTTTAGTAGCGACTTGTGATTGAACAGCAGGGATTTAATTTTCTTTGCAATTGCCATTGAGTGAAAAGCATTCTAGTGTGGAGGAAACTACCACTTTACACAACATACAGTGCTAGCGGTCACTGGGTAGGCCTCATTCTTTCACTTGGCACCATGCCAGAGATTACAGTGGGTGTGGATCGTCCTGGCATAGCATTCTAGTGGAAACAGAATGCTAATTAGCCATTTAGCATGAGACTCCACCATTCAGAGGAATGCTTGCTGAAGAAAAAGAGAGGAACTTCACAGATAACTTTAAAAATCATCAGTGTCTGAGCTGTTAAAGTGGGAGGTGAGGTTAGTCCAAGAAAAAGGTGAATGTAACTCATTTGTTCAGTGCAGGGAAGAGGCCGGTAATGAGGGGAAGGATCAGAGTTGGAACATGTATGCTGGCTGTCTTCAAGTCACAGCTCTAAACTATGGGGAGTAGGCTTGAAAATAAAACCTGTTGTGCCAATTATTCACTGTAGCTAGGCATTGAAATACAATGCAATGGAAACCTAGTCTGGCAATTGTCCCAGTGAAGTGAGGAGGTTGGTTATCAGAAAGCCCATTAAGTGAATTCTGGGCAACAATGGATCTTGTTACATTTTTCCTTCCAAGTAAGGATGGTCAGACTGAGAAGGAAGGGTGTGCTGTGTGGGGCAATGCCTTGTGGTGGAGTCACACCAGCCCAGGGGGATCTATTGTACCGCCATTCTCCTCTCTCTGGAATCAAATCTGTCTTCCCTCTGTAGAAAACGATTAGTGGTTAGTTTTTCATTCAGTCATTCCCTTTGCAGGAAAATACCAAAGATCATGAAATTCTTGCTTCCAACACTTTGGCTCAAAACTATCCTGCCATGGAAGGAAAAGAAAGACCAGCAATCCAGGCTCTCCTCAATCAGACTGACTCCAGTGACTCTGAAGAACAGGAAGCTTGGATAGACCGGTTCAGAAAACTAGAGAGAGCTCTTTATTTGTGTGATGTAAAAAACACAGGTACTGTTTTAAAAGCCAGCACGTAGACCTTACTCAATGGGCCACTCATATGAGTAAGGGATCAGACCTATTATTTGAAAGTAATTCACTTTCTAATGCACCTGAGGTCAGATGGGTGTTATTCTGGGATCTATTCCCAGCGTCACTATGAAATTATTGCATGACAGAGGGCTCTCATCACTTAAAATCTCTGGGACTTATTTTCCTGGTATGTACAGTAGAGCTAATACTCCTCCCGTTGGTCAGGGGATAGTCTACCAATGAGTGCCATAGGGATGCCTGTGAATAAATACATCTTAAAGAAAAATATCAGTTACTACTGAAGCCTGAAGAAAGGGTCTTAGTCAGGTGGGCCATACTTTGCTCTTGGATGTATGTGGCTTCTCTGGCTTCACAAGCTACTTGTTGTCATCTCCATTGCAGTTCCTCCCTGACATCCTGATAGATCCTCTTTCTTCCCAGCTAGCTTGCAGCTTCAGGAAGGGCTGAAGAAGTGACACTATGGTGAAGTGGGCACAACAGCCGTCTGGGGATAAGAGTTGTTGCTGAAAGGCTAGAGGGGTTTTGTTCCAGTAAAAAAAACCTATCCCATCCCCACTGCCCTGTGCCCAAATAGCTGGCCGCCTCCTAACAGCCTCCTCTCCTGGCTCAGCCTTAACGTCTAAGAACTGGCCAGTCTCCAAGCTGTTAAATCCCTGATATTTAGCCAGTGTCTTCAGCATGAATGAATAGATATTTGCCAGGCAACAAGTGTACCATAACAGAGACTGTACATAACAACATACCTCCCATTTGCCTTTGGTCACACAAACACACACCCAGTCAAGAAAGAATTTCACCAGCACAGTTAGGTAGGGCAGGGAAAGGAGAGGACACAATTATTTCCTTTTGGGGGTTAGTCTTCAATGGTTTGTTGGCTATTCTCTGGCTCTGACTGTCCAGTAATTTCCCATCCAGGAACTATGGGCATGTCTAAACTACATCCCTCTTTCGAAAGAGGATGTAAATTAGGCAGATCGAAAGCACAAATGAAGCAGGGATTTAAATATCCCATGCTTCATTTGCATAAACGCATAACAGCATTCTTTTGAAAAAAGGGTATTTTGAAAGTGAAACTGCTGTTTAGACATGGTTCTTGATCCTGTACTTTTTTTTTTTGAAAGAACCGTGTCTAGACAGCAGTTTCACTTTCGAAATACCCTTTTTTTGAAAGAATGTTGTTATACGATTATGCAAATGAAGTGCTGGATATTTAAATCCCCACTTCATTTGCACTTTCAATCTGCCTAATTTACATCCCTCTTTCGAAGAAGGATGTAGTTTAGATATAGCCTATGTACTGTGACTCAGTAGGTCTCTCTGTCTCACGTAGTCTTTTGCTAAATATATGATCTGGGTCTGCTATGACACTTTTCTGTAGCTACCCCAGCTTCATACGAATCACACTCCACAGTGCTCAAAGATGAGCTTGAATCAAACATACTGACACTTAAGCAATGTACCTGTTCAGTCTGATGGAACAGATTTCACCTGGCTCCCATCACCAGAGTATCTGAACTCTGCAGATTTTATCAATGTCCTCTTTGGTTTGCTGGGCTTCAGATTTTTGGCAAAATGAAGAATATGCTTTTAGTACATGTGAATTTACTAAATGTAACAATTTACTATGAGGGCTTCTTTCATGCCTCTCTGATCCTCTTATAAATGGGGAATATAGGATCTTTATGGTATTTGGGAACCATATTCTAATAAGGAACCAGAGTCATTAAAGGGTTTGATTTTTACTAAAGGAAATGAGTTGACAATCTGTACATAAAATAACCATTTAAAGTCTTTTTTTTTCAAATGTAGGCATGCTGGAAAAGGATAAAGCAAAGCGCCTCATCCACAACTACAACCTCATCTACGATCTAGCTCTGAGTCCTCTGAAAATTGATCAAGCCTTCCGAAATTTCCGTTCTGGTGAAAACATGCCATTGCAGCCAGTACTGCAGTATTTAAAAGAGTTGTAACAAGTACTTACTAAACCTTTCTCATGAGTTCTGTTTTTCACCCAATGACAAATTTCTTGAGAACTGAATGTTGGTGATGTCATAATTACTACAGCAAATTAATAAACTTCTCCATACTCTAAAAAGGAGGAAGCAAAAATAGAAACAGCTTCATCTTACATATCAGTGATATTTTAATAGAGTTGCAGGGTTTGAAATAAAACTAAATGGCCATATAGAGTCAGGGCTTTGTCTCTGATTCTCAGTGATGAGTTCAAGCTTCAGAATTCAGAGAGAGATGTATTTCTGGATTTGTAACTCCAAAGTCTGAAAATATCTGGATTGGAATTCTAGCTTCCACCCATTATAAAGATTTTGAACACCACACAGGTGTTCAAATCTGGGTCCCATCGCTGTTGACTATGGTAATAAATTGATTGTTAAATGATTTCAATGAAATTTTAAATCAAGGAAATGGGAGTAGGGAGGTCACATTTAAGAACATCCACCTGTTTGAAAGATTCTACTAGTTCTAAAGGAATTCCCCATATTAAAAACAAAGCTCTGTCTAGAACCAGTTGATTCTTTCAAACCAGTGTAACTTTTTATGCACATCCACTGTAGGTCATTCAATCAGGCTATAAACTATAGTCTTCATATACTAACATTGCAGGAATAAGCAAGCAAGACTCACCCAAGTGCCTTAATGATTTAATTTTCCTTAACTTCATCTTAATGCCATTGTCTGTCACCCAACCCCTCTCCCTGATGCTCGTTCCTGTTCTTGTCTATAGAGACAAATTCTGAAACCCTTAGCATGAGCCTCAATTGGACTTAAACACATGCTAAAAGTTAAGCATATGTATAAGTGTCCACCCCAGGTAGGGATGTTTTATGGGATCAGGTCATTGCATATTCCATGAGTAGCCACTGGGATACTGTACTTCTGGGAATGTGTATTATACGTGGTAGTGAGTGGCTGCAGCATCATGCTCATAGACTAAATTTTTTGGAGGGGGGAATCTTCAGAGCTTCATACATATCAACTGTGCAATGTAGCTATAATAATAGGTGACAGAGGTGCCTGTTTTGCTTAATTTATAACATGTTGGTGAATTGTGTGATGTTTTCTTGGGCAAGCTCTAGTAGTCATATTCTTTATCTGCATAAAGTTTCATATGTGTCATTGTTAGGTCGTGAACATTTAAGATTCAAGATTGGGGTTTTCAAAGCAGTTTAGGAGAGGTAGGTGCCCAAGTCTCATTAAATTCCAGTTGGAATTCTCAGCCTAAAGACTTGTGTTGACTGAAAGAAACAATGTTACTGATACTTAAATTACGTGGTTGCTCAATGTATTGGAGAGTTCTATATTTGGCATTTTAAAACTGTTTTAGACCCAGAAATTATGATTATAACTATGCTTTCCCTGCTGCCTCTTTATAAAACACAGATGTTCTTGTCCCAGAGTGAATACCTCTAACTTGTATGAAAATGTACATGTTCTGTTATGCAGCCATGTGACATTCTTATCTAAGAAATAGTCCTTTAAACCTTATGCTTGAGTGGTTGTCTACCTGTGTTTCTCTGCTAGGTACTTTGAAAACAAGGTTTCATATTTTTGGCTTTAGAGTGTACAGATTTGGGATAGGTATGAGCACTGAGCACTCATTGTGGGCTTGGAGTAGGGCTTTCGCCGGTGGAATGGGAACACTTTTACTAGTGAGGGTACTAAAAGCCAGCCCCCTTGCTCCTGTCTGTCCCCCTCTCAGCTAGGGGCAGGTGCAGGGACCAGGGGAAGCAGGTAAAGTAGGTATGGAAAGCATTGCCTTCCTAAAACTGCCCTACGGCTGCCCAACAGATACAACTGAATCTACACTGCCCAGCAGCCGGGGAGGGCTAGGCCAATGGTACAGCAGCCCTGGCCATCTGGATGACCAGGAAGGAATGGGCTTGAGGGTTGGGGTTGGGCAGGGCTTGGCTTGGGAGGGGGAGATTGTTGAAGGAGTGTGGTCTCGGAAAGAGTTGCAGCTTTGGGCAGAAGAGGCAGGATTGGAGGAGATTGTTGAAGGGGCATGGTCTCAAGGAGAGGTATGGCTTTGGGCAGAAGAGACGGGGCTTGGTCTTGCCTTCTCGAGCTGGGCCTTCACCTGCCACCCATGGTAGGGACCCCAAGCACTGAGCCACATGGCAGCCAAGATCCTGGAGGGAAACCAGACCATGTGTCAGCCAGGACCTGGGGCAGGAGTAGTTCAGCAGCTGGGACTCGGCACTGGGCCAGCAGCAGAGCCCCAGGTAAGAGCTGAGAGTTCTGCAGCACCTCCCCACCCTTGATTCCCATGTCTATGTCTATCACTCGGACTTAGCCTCTCCACTGACCCATGTGGATACTGCGCTCCCACAAGGGAGTGGTTCACAAATTGAACTGTAGAAATAAGAGGTGGAAAAGACTTACATCCCAGTTCTTCTAAAGTAATGTATGCACTGTTCTGCTCTGCATTGCAAGGCATGTGGGACTTGAATGGCAGAGTCCCATTTTCCAAAAGTGACTGAAGCGTTTAACCATTTACATCACGCGGGCCTTGCAATGCTGAATGGCGCAATGCCATAATCCCTTCAAAATCTGGGTCCCAGGCCTAATGCTGTCAGTCAAGAGTAGCGCCACTGAAGGTAACACCAGTGTAAGCCAGACGTGAGACTGGAACCGCCCTGATAAAGCCCATTGTCATGTGAGCCTCCCTTTGGCCTGTACACTTTGATTTCCAGTCTTTGTCTTGTTCTTGTTTCAAGTGGGTTGGATGATGGGTCTCAATTGTTGGGAAATTATTGCTGTGGCTTATAGATCTCCTCATTCAACAACTTTCCTTGATATACAACCTACATTTCCCTTGCTTAGCGCACACTCCTGTGACTGTCAGGCATGTGGGCCAGCCTAAAGAATTCCCTTCTTTGCATGGTGTTTGTATCTTTCATATACTTGTACTGCTTCTAATGTTTCCTCATTAGTCCATTCCTCTAGGACCCTTAATTGCTGTGAATTCCCAGTTCAGAGACCACAGTTGCATCATTTCTTCTAACAGGCAGCTGCCATGTGGCAATTAAGACAACAGAACATAGGAATAATGAGTCTAAAGCTCCCATAGATTTACGTCCTCCACTTTTCACACATCGGGGCTAGCGTCTCTGCAGCTTTTACTATCCAGCGGGCTTTATGCTGTATTCACCAGTTGCATTGCAGTGGTTCTTACCCCAGCTGCAACTGGTGTGGGGGCGGGGACAGAGTTGAGGGGAGCTGGCTGGCCGCTTCATCTCTTCTCTGGATGACCACCTACATTCTTCCTCTCCCCCCCTTTCATGACTCCACCTACTGACTCCAGAAATGCCCTCTCCTCATCGGTCTTCATGCCGTTTCCCAGGTCCACCTCCTTTCCTTCCTTCTTCCCAGTCAGATCCTTCTCCCTTCCTACCTGGTCTATGACCCATGCTGCATGCCGCCTTTTCCTGCTTTTTTTTTTGCACATTTACCCCTATTCTTTGATGCGTTGCACAGGCATTGGCCTCACAACTCTTGACTTGTGGGTATGTCACGTGGCCACAAAACAAGAATTACTTTTTGCCTATCATCACTGAGCCCAATCCAACTCCCACGGAAGTCATTGACTGCAGCACATGTAACTCTGCAGGAGACCTCTCTTTATACCAGTGGCTCCATTGATGGTGTTTAGATCACATTGTAAGAAATACTCAATGTTCCAAAAAGTGGGTTTTCAAATTGAAATCACAAATTTTGTTCAGTAAGGATTTGATTGCAGACACCCACACACATCTTGACAGACAAAAAGTCCTTTTTGATGCCCATGTTTAATGTTAATATTTTCTGTTCCTTTCATTTTGTTACATGTTCTTTCTCTCCCGTCTCCAGTATTTTTTAAGGGCAGTCCTTACCCTCCAAAGCATTTGGCAGGAGTTACTTTTACCTACCACTATAATGCAGCCAGTACTGGGGCAAAAGATAGTAGCTGATTAGGAGCACTACAGAACATCTTATAAACTAAGGCTATGTCTGCGCTAGCAAGGTTTGACAATGATATTGCTGTTGACTGGTAGGAATCGCCATAACTGGAAATCCATCAAACTGGTTTTTCTGGTATCCATTGTCAACAACTCCTGTGCTTCAGGATAGAAGACAAACTTTGAGGGTTAGGAAAAGACTTCCTTTGTGAGCAGGTCATTCTGTCACCACATTCTCCAGTTTTCTTCTGAAGCAGCTGGTCTTGGCCACTGTCCAGAGACAAGATACTGCCTCGATCAGGGATACTCAACTTTGGAAGCCCTGGGGGCCACAATGATACTCATAGCACATGCCGAAGGCCACAACTTAAATGCAGTTGCATATACATGCAAATATATATATGCAAATAGCTTCTTTCACACTGTTGGGCATAAATACAAAAATTAAGACACGACTACACAACACACAGGACCCATTTAAGTCAGTTCTACTGATATTAATAAAATGCAATATTTACCCGATTTCCATCAATATGACAGCATTTTTAATGAGCAATGACAGTCCAAGAATTTAACTACTAAAACGCATTATATTGACTACTTTTTTGTTTTGGCTCTCACCCGCATATTGAGCCCCATGAAAACCCAAACCACATCGCGTGCCACAAACAAACAGGCTGCGGGCCTCATATAGCCCGCAGGCCGTGTGTTCAGTAGCCCTGGCCTAGATGGACCACTAGTCTGATTCATTATGGACATTTTTTCTTGCTACATGGGGAGTGTAGAATCCTATAGTCAGTTAAAACTGAAGGGAGAAGTTAAATGGGCAGAAATGTGCATGTTGTGCATGGCTATACAAAAAGTGATGGCAAGATTTCACCTTCATTCTAAGCTCCTATTTCAAATGTGCATGTGTAAGAGGAGATTTCTGGGGGGTTTTCATTTATAAGCCTCATCTGGATTTCCCAAAACTAGAGAGGGTTTTGAACAAAAACCGCTGAGCTAAAAACCTGGCACTACTCAGGCCATCAGAGTTGGACTTAGCCCCGACCTTTGCTGCTAAAGTATAGATGCCCAAGAATAAAAATGCAGCTCTGCAGTAAATTCTTTCTCTGTCATTAGCAGACAAGTCTTTGGCATTCAAACCCTTTGATGTGGAACATATGCGCTAAGGATGATTTAAAGTCAAGGAGGCCCATGCTGGCCAATCGGCTAAGACCCAGATATGGGACACAGTCCTTAAAAGCCCCGCATTACCTGTAAAGAAGTGACACAAAATAAGTGACAGACACACCAAACAGCAACAGAAAAAATGTTTTGTTGGGAGGCGGGGGAAGGAGGGAGTTTAATCAGGCTATGGGCTTCACCTTTTAACACTAGTAACTCTTTTACCTGTATCTAGCACGCACAATGGTTTTTAAGCTACTGCTCAGTCACTCTGAAATCCATCTGACACATAACTAGCTTTTGCATACTTAACTCATATGTCCTCATGTCAACTCATTCCTTTCATTATCCACCCAAGAAGAGGGGATCTGGAGGCTATGACCAGATGAGCTGGACTTTCAGATGCTCCATATGGGTTCTCAGTTAGCCCAGTATAACTCCTGAGTAATTACACTGAACTTAATAGAATTACACAGACGGTAACCAAGAGTACAATTTGGTTTTTTTATCTCTTAAAGTCAGATTATGACTGGGTCTTAATCCTAATTAGTAGAATTATATCTCCAGAAGTAAAATCTATTTCATCTTCCCCCCTCCTCTTAGCAACAGAAGGTAACACCATCTAACACTAGCTTATCTGAGAACCTTGCCTGGTTGTTTTGTCAGTGTTTTACTTAGAAAATATCGAAGAAAAGGAAGACACATGTAGACTGGCATATCTAAATTAATGGAAGAATATTTATATATAGGTGATGCTACCAATACATATGCATGCACACACACGTGTATATTGGTAGCACACACATACACAGATTAATTTAGAGCAGAGATATGAAATGTAGCTGAGGGATTGCCCTGGATGTGCCTTTTGCTGTACCTGTGGAAACTTGCTCAGGTGCAGGGCGGTGTCAGAGGCTGGATAAGAGTGAGTGTATCAGGAGCCAGGAAAGGGAGTTGGATTTGGGGCAAGAGGGGGAAGGCAAAAGACAGTGCGGGGCACAGACTGGGATCACAGGGGCGGGAGCATCTATAACCAGTAAAAAACACACCCTTGTAGAACCTGGAACTAAACTAAAGAGTCCTCAACTTCTACATTCCTCTGCTGTCAGCAAATAGCTGTGAAACCTACTGACAAAGTGTGTGTCTCATCCCCTTTCCCTCCCAAATCTTGTCCAAATAGAGTCTACTACAGCTACTATTTGACTAGTTCAAATAATAGAGGTCTGGGCTGTGGAGCTGAGGATCTAGTTTGATGGAGGTTCATTTTTTCTTATTGTTTTATATATAATGAAAATATAAAAAGGCTGAGAGCTCTCCAGGAAGTAAATAAGACATAGACTGCAAGCACTGCAAAGGCACTGTGTGAATAAATACGTGAATATGCATGAATAATGCAAATAGGCTATTTGAAAAACACTTTATTAACCTGCCTAAAAAAATTTGCCATTCTAGCAGTCTAAGATGCCTCTTATAAATTTTATGATGCTTCAACTCCCTAATTTTGAAACAGTCATTCAAAGCAGCTCCAGTTTAAAAAGAGACCTTTTCCCTCTTTTTATTCCCCCCTGAAACCGTTTTTCCATCTGTTTGTCCTATTTCCCCATCTGTTCCTGCAGTCTCAGGGTCTGGTTCAGCTTGTCGATAAGGGGTGACTGAAAAGGAATCTCCCCCTTCCTCCCCTCCCATGGACTATTGTATGGAACAAAGCAGCTCGTTTAAAAAAATCCCATTGGGACATGTTTTCTGTTTCTGTTCTGACCCAAGATGTTTATCTACCTCTTAAATGCACATATAGCGCCTGATTAATTAAAGTGAATGAGAGTTTTGTCTAGGCCAGGAATGGGCCTGGAATGCTGGCTTAATTTTCCCCTTCCCCTCATGTCTTCTGTCACAGTTAAATAACTCTTCCCATCAGGGGGTGAGATCTGGCTACTGCTTGGAGTTAGGGGCAATGCTGGTTAGTGCCCCGAGGAGCACTGGTGACATTCTGCCTGCCTATTGGGGAGCACAGAAAGGAACACCATAAGGTGTCCTCCCTGTATGGCTAGGTAGCTGCTGGAAGTCTTGGATACACCACACACAGCTAATGTACCTCGAGCGATGTTAGGGTGTGTCCACATGTGTACTCCTGTGTCGACAATGGTCAGAGGTTTCAATCATGTTACCCTAGTTCAACTGAACTAACTTAATTTAAAAGAGCATCTTTCAATACCTTTTGTTACACAGACCATGAGAAAGCATGAAGATTAGGCCAACTAACCAACTATTTCCTATTTTACAGTGGTCTGGCCACCTCCTGGTTCTGACTGAGGAGCATGTCATGGGGAGTATTGGATGGTGTGTCACCATTCCACCACTTTTGGGCCAGCAGTGCAATGTGCTAGTTTGGCAGAGCCTGAAGGTTGTTCTTGCCCTGCGATCCCCAGGCTCTAAAGCAGGCATGTCAAACTCGAAGCCTACTGAGGGCCGCACAAATGAAAACTGATAGCTTTCAGGGCCACCTAGGGTTCCCAGATGGCTTGACCAAAAAAGAAAAAATTTGTTGTCAAGCAAAAAAAAAAAAAAGCATTTTAGGTGCCACGCAGAAGGCACCAATACTCCTGGACACCTGGCAACCCCAGGGCCACCAAAGAAAATGTACTTTGTTGGAAAGTCGTAGTTATTTATTATTTTAGATTATGTTTTAGGTATATTTTATAATATTACAATAATTTGATGTGTAAAAGTGTTATTTGCTCATATTAAAAAAAATAAAATTAATTTTACGTAATGTTTAATTTAAATATAAATTGAAGGTACTTTTAAATTTTTTACATGGTACATAACTTGTTTTGTTGAAATAAAAATAAGTATAGACCATGGTTAATAAAATAGAACAGGCTTTTGTGAAACTGTCAGAAACTTGATAAGTTTGAGATTTGGCATAAAGATAATTATTCATGCAATTGCAAAAAATTGACATATTTATTGATATAAAATTAATATACAATCTGTGATTTTATTTGGGAATAAATACATAAAAAAAAATTAACAAAATAACCCTTTCCTCTCCCCGAGAGCCAGGTACTCCCATACTCCCATTCTAACCCAATCCTCCTCCTCTCCCCCAGAACCAGGCCCCCCAACCTAATGCCTCTCCCCTGCGTTAGACTCAGGCTCTCCCAGCCCCTCCAACCTAACACCTGGGTTCCGAAGTTGTCCTTGCTGCGTGAGGCACTGGGGCGGCGTGAGCACAGCAGCCAGCTGTGAGCGCCTGCTGGTGCACCCAGCGCAGAGCACCCAGCCAGCCGTGAGCGTGTGCGCAGAGCAGCCTGGCTGGCTGACAGCACCTGCTGCAGAGCCCCTGGCCATGTGCTCCGAGAGGCCAGTGGGCTGCACTTCATTCTTTATAAAAATGTTCTGGCAGGCTGCAAAACATTTTGATCAGGCTGTATGCGGCCCTCCAAATGCCAGTTTGAAATGCCTGCTCTAAAGGTACGTCTACACTCCACGCTTATTTCGAAATAAGCTATTCTGGAATAGTTATTCTGAAACAGCGTATTTTGAAATAGCACATCTACACTGCTGGGAAGCCTTAAAATTAATCCGAGGCAGGCTTCCCTAATGTAGATGCGCTATCTCAACTTAGAGCCCCAGGAGGCACTAGGGAGGAATAACTTAGAATGGCCCTCGTGAGGAGCAATTTCGAAATACACACACCTTATTTCGAAATAGCTATTTCAGGATAGGTGTTATTCTTCGTAGAATGAGGTTCACAGATTTCAGAATCATCCGTCCGTTATTTCAAAATAATGGCATGGCTGTGTAGATGCTCGCATTGTTATTTCAAAATAACACTCATTATCTCGAAATAATGGCACAGTGTAGACGCACACTAAGTGCCCAATAGCGCCATTGGGAATCAGAGGAGGATGTAGATATATGATAGCCTTGTTCCTTCTCCTCCCAGCTACACCAGTGTTCTGCATCCACCAGAGGAACCCCTCTTGGCCAGTTCTGGGTAATTTTGTGCCTGTGATGTGACCTCCTCATAACCCAGTGTGTTTTTAATTGCCTACATGTAGTTACACAATGATCTTGCCAGTCTACTCAGTGAGTGTAGTAGTTCAGGGCAAGCTGGAATAGATCATTTTACAT